CTTTCTCATTCTGTGGACATTAGACTCGGATTCGGAGTTGTATAGTGTCTCATTAAGCCCCACTCGTACCTTCTGCCGAAGGTTTTCTACTTTTACGGGATTTTTTTAAATGACGAGCACTCAGTGCGTCTGCCGTTAAAAGTTAGAATTGATTCTAATTAGCCCTAGAAATAAAAAATATATACGAAAAATAAGAAAAGTCAGCGATCAGTGAGTGTCAAGATGCGTATTGAACGATTGACTGCATTTGCATTTCGGGATTTTCGGAAAATCGGCCAATCTTCTTAAAGGATTATTTACGTTTTCACTTCCATTGAAAATGACTCCACCCACCTCACTCTTATTTTCTTCTTCTAAATTCCAACGCAGAATATTGAAAAGGTGTAACTCATTCACCGTTTAGCCGATTCCCCAGATTTTCAAATAGCCGTCTAGTCACAAGCTGCGAAAGCAGTTCAGAGTCGTAACGGTTGTATTTGACGTACTCGTGTTCAACGATGGTGTAACCATGAGAATGTAATGCCTCGTTTCGAAGCATCCTAACGGCCCAGAAGTAGTAAGGGGCATTGTTGTGCAGAACATCAAGGCTTTCAAACTTCATATTAAGTACCAACATGTTCCCTTTCGCACAGCGGGCACCTTGTTCCAGTACGTGATCAGACGCATGATTGTAATGAAATTTTTTGAAGGAACATCGTTTTCATTCAATTGCAGGTTTTCTACTTAGAAGTATATTCTTTCTCTTACTTATCTACTCAAGAACTGTACGGATGTGATGCTTGAATCGTCGTTTGTTAATTGAATGCCGTCGTGCTTTGCGAAATTCACGATGGAATGCAGACGCTCATTTAAGGTATGACTTTAATTACTCTATCTTATACTTTATTATATTTTTCTGAGACTAGCGTAGTCTCACTGGAACAGACATACTTTTTCTCAGTTCCTTTTTGCTCTTTTAAGAGTGGAGATTATCAATGCAATAGTAACGATCGGAATTTGCTGTGATAAAACCGTTTCTTGACCACCTCTTTGGTTGTTTTTTCAAAATTATGTCCCTTATCACATTGCACGTGTAGGAGGTTCGCAACAAAGCTCTAAAGGACTAGGAGGCCTCTCTTTCGTGTCGTAAGAAATGTGAGAAAGAAATTATGGTTAACGCATGCTTTTGATATCATTCCTTCTTCTAGTGCGATCCCCTTTTCGATATCTTTGCTTATTTACCAGTCAGCAGAACAATAAAAACTTGTAGAAGGTAACTTTTCCACATAGCTTTTATCGTTTTCATTGTCAGAGCTAGGCCGCGAATGGGGCGGGCTGAAGTTGAGATTTCTTGGTGATTTTCCAACTGACGTTTTTGAGCATTCTTAGGAGAATAATTGGATTCGTTTGGATTCAGGAGTTTTTGGAGAGGCTTCTAAAAAGTTGCAAAAATTCTGATGCATCTTGAGAAGTTGAAATTTTTTGCGTAAGCTTCGGTGCATTGCCGTTCGTTCTTCCCGCCCTCCTCGTTTCCACTCCACTGTGATATGCATACATTTTTGATATATTTTTGTTGTTTTTTTTTCTAGCATAGTTTGTTGGAGAATAGGTTGAGGATGAGAGTAGGTGTAGAATCTGTAGACGAAGGCGGTTTGTGAGATCTCACCTAAGCCTAGTCTAATTGGAAAAGGGCGTGCTAGCCCTACCAGAGAGTCGTACGATGTAAATTTCCTAGACATATGGCCCGCAGTGATCAGGAACACCCTCACGATCACGCATTTGATTGTTTCACGTTTCTATGGTCTTTTCACTGCTCATCAAACATTTTCCAATTGAACTACTGCACTGCAATGCACTTTCTAGGGCACATGAACGTTCTGTCACTGTAGATCAAGAGGCGATTGCCCGAATCGATACTTGTCAACTTGCTGCTAATAGTCCAATAGAAGATTTTTACTCGGCTGCTAAATGTGAGTTTCATCTACACAGACTTAACTTACGTTTTCTTGATAAAAAAAAGCCATACGAAAATTTGCAAGTTTTCAGTGCAATTAGTATCGACTGTATCATCTTCTATTCAGGCCTTTCATCTAATGCATTTCTTTTTGGAGTTTTTGATGGACACGGTGGTCAGTCGTGTAGTAGGCATGTTTCCGTGACTTTATTCCCATATATTTGCGCTTCAGTGTTGAAAAAGCATGAGGTGAGTTCTCCCTTCTATGTTTCATCTATTTTATGCATGCTTTCAACTGCAACTGCAACTTGTGATGCATCTTGGTGTCAGGCGTGGGGGCACTGGGTGATGAATTAGTTTGGTCAAAAAAAGGGATGAGGCGTTGGAGCCAGGAGGGGACTGAATCGGTTTCTCTTCCAGCTGTCAGATTGTTGAGAGTTTCTCTTCTTGGGAAGTGGAAAGCGAAAAAAAATGTATAGTCGGATTGAGCTGACTTCGATTTTCTTGAGGCAGGATTCAATACACACCGGTCCATCCCCCACTTGAGCTGTGTATCGGTGCTCTGCGCATCTCAAATTCTTCAAATTACATCTGTGCTATTGTGTATAGAAAATTTCTTTACTCCAATTTAGATCCAATCACTAAGCCTGGAGAGCCGATTAGAATGGCTTTTTAGCAGTGCTGATGCCCATTTACCAAATTTATTTCGGTTCAGTTTCAGTATTTGCTCAAAATTTTGTCATCATTTATTTTTATCCAGTGTTCTTTCTTATGTGATACGTGAACTATAAATATTTCTAGACAAAATGCAATAGAAAATGTTGTCGAATATCACAAAGCTTTCACTCAAAGGAAGCATCTTCATACAGGTGATTGATGCTTCCTTTCTCATTCTTGTGTTTGTGTTTGTTCATTCTTTCTTTTGTGTTTGTTCTTATAGGGCAAAATCATCTTTTTCTGAAGGGTGTTTAGAGTTCCTTAATAAAACGTTTATCTACATTTTCAGTTCGCGAAGCTCTCAAATTTGCTTTCGAAACATGCGATGAGGATTTGTGCCGTGCTGCTTTACCGGACAGTAGAGGACAAATAGATAGGCAAGAAAAAAACTTACCGTAAATTATAGCGAAGTTAACTCTTATTTACTTCTGTAGATGTTGGTGTAGGTTTGTCAGAAATGCGACATGACAAATTTTAATCAGTTGTAGGTTATCGGTAATGACCGCTGCGTCTGGATCCTGCGCAACTCTTGCCCATATTCGAGGGCGAAATCTTCATGTCGCAAATGTAGGAGACAGTGCAGCTGTTCTAGGTTGGTATAACTTGTTTTGAGCCATCGCTGAGCTTTCCACTTTTTTACAATGTCTTATTTTGCGAACATGTATATCTATTCTATTAGCATTTTAATTCCTGGACACCACCTGTCATTACTTATTACTTCCCAAGGTTACATG